AGTCTGATAATAAATTAATTGGAATAATTTGAATAAAAGAAAATAAATGAAATGGAAAAGAACTAAAAAGAATAAAGAAGTAAATTGAAGTGGACTTGAGCTGAGAAGAATAAAAGAAATAAACTGCAGAGACTTAATTAATCAAAACAAAATAAATTGAATTGGAAATTCAATTTAAGAAATAAATTGAATTTCCATTTGAGTTATTTTGTTTTGATTAGTAAAGAATAAATGAAATGGAAGTAAACTAATTGGAAAAAGAAATGGAAATAAACTAATTAGAAGGAAGGAAATTGAATTGGAAATAAACTGATAATAATAAACTGATAATAATAAACTGATAATAACAAACTAATAATAATAAACTGATAATAATAAACTGATAATAATAAAAAAGTAAATCGAATTGGAAATAAAGAAATTAGAATGAAGAAATGAATTGAATTGGAAATAAAGAAATTAGAATAAAGAAATAAATTGAATTGGAAGTAAAGAAATTAGAATAAAGAAATAAATTGAATGGGAAATAAGGAAAATACAGAAATAAATTGGAAATAAATATATCGGAATAAAGAAATAAATTGGAAATAAATAAATTAAAGAAATAAATAAATTGGAAATAAATAAATTAAAGAAATAAATAAATTGGAAATAAATAAATTAAAGAAATAAATTGGAATAAAGAAATAAATTGAGTTGGAAAAAACGAATGAGAATTGATCGGAAATGGAGTTTTCCTCTTTGTCGCTTTCGGGACGAACTTCGAACGGCGAAGCAACAAAAGGGAAAAAGAAAAGAAAACAAATCGAATTGCGAACTAGAGTTTGATTTAATTCATTTAAATTCATTTAAATTCATTTAAATTCATTTAAATTCATTTAAATTCATTTAAATTCATTTAAATTCGTTTAAATTCATTTAAATTCATTTAAATTGCAAATCAAACAAACAGAAAAGAAGTGAAGAGCAGCTCCGCGAAAAGCTGCGGAAGCAGTCCAGAGCTGAGGTGTACGTACACCCCGGCTCTGCAGATTCTTCGCAACTGATTTGCGCAAATGCAAAGCGCCATAAATGCAACTAAATATATTTTAATTCATTATTGAATTAATTGGAGTTTTATTTATTGTGGAATTAATTGAACTTGAAAAGATTCCAATTGCAAACAACCAAAAGAAATGCATTTCCCTCGTGAAAGAACTTGTGGAACTTCTGCATTGTGAAAAGTGCAATTGTCGAAAATTCTTTTTTTATTTTTAATTTCTTTTTATTTCCTTTTTCTTTCCAATTCCCTCTCCTTCTTAAATCTTTTTCTTTTCTCTTTTTCGTTTTTAATTCTTTTTCTTTTCTAATTTTCTTTTGTTTCTTTTTTCAACTTTTCTTCTCTTTGCTCCCCCTGCTTTCTGCACAAGACCTGGGAGATATAAACATTATCTCTTTTGCATTTAAAAACTTTTGAAATTCTTTTTAAAGAAATAAATTTTTAAAGAAATAAATTCAACTTTTCACTTCCGCTTTTTTCTTGTCCGCGTCTCCTCCCCTTCCGAGTCCTCGTCGGCGCGGCGCTTCCTGTCCTCTGCAGCAGCAGCAGCAGCAGCAGCAGCAGCAGCAGCAGCAGCAGCAGCAGCAGCAGCAAAAGGGGAATTCAAAGATGAAATGAAATGAAATAAAGAACAGGCAGAGAAAGCCAACTAATTAGGGCACATAAAACAATCAAAAAATAAAATACAAAAAGATGAAAAAAACAGAAAAGTGAAATTAATAAAAGTGATGGCCGCAGCGCTCCAGAGCTGCTGCTGTTCGCGACTCAATTTAATAATAATAAAAGGCTGCACACAATAAAAAGAAAAAATAAATAAATATACCAACAGTAATAAATAGCAACAAATAATAGTGACAATAATATTAACAAATAAACAAATAAAACTAAATTAACACAGACACAAAGACCTCGCAACAGACTGCGCTGCGTGTCACCAACTCAGCAGCCGCAAGACACAGCAGCAGCAGCAACAGGCACAGCAGCAGCAACAGGCCCAGCAGCAGCAGCAGCAGCAGCAGCAACGGACACAGCAACAGCCCCACTGCAGGTTGCAATTGCAATCAAAAGAAGCAGCAACAGAGCCAAGAAAAATAAAAGCAACAGAACGAAAAGAACCAAACTTGGAATAGCAGCAACAAGAACAGCACCAATGGCGCAAGTGACAAAAGAATAACAAGACAAGAAAAAAAATGGCAGAAATAGCAGCAGCAGCAGCAGCAGCAGCAGCAGCAGCAGCGGTGCGAGCGGGTACCTTTTTTGGCTCTTTCTTCGAGTTCGTCCCAGCTGAGTCCTTCTTCTTCGTCTTCGTCGGTTGCTGCAGCTTCTTCGTCGTCGCTTTCGTCCGCCAAAGAAGAATCATCTGAAGAGAAGTCGCTGTCGCTGCCGCCGCCGCTGCTTTCGCCCGAGTCCGAGCCCTCGGCGTTGAACTCCTTGTCGTCGTCCTGCGTTTCGAAAGATCGATTTGCAAAAAGTCGAAAAAAAGGATTAAATAGATCCAACAAGTTGCTTATTCCTCAATCTTTTGAAAATGGCGGAAAAAAAGATAAAGATCGGCCCCAGAAACGCCAAAAAAGGGCAAAATGAAAGAATTCAGAAAAGTGGAAACTCGCGAGTTCAAACGCGAAGAACTGGGGTGTACGTACACTCGAAGACTGCTCCGCGTATTCCTCGTCGTCGTCGTCTTCGCTTTCCTCGCCCTCTTCTTCGCTGCCGTTTACGTCGCCTGAAAGCCGCAAGTCGAAATAAATAAAACATATAATTAAAAAACAAAAAAGCATTTATTTCTTTTTTCGGAAAACAAAAATCCGCGAAGAAAGAAATAGTTCTGCAGGCGCCCGCCGTTCAAGTTCAAATTCAGTTCAAGTTGCGGAAAAAGCCCAGGCTGTCCTTGAACTCCGAATTAACTCTTTTAATTGCAAATATAATTTAAAATGTAAATATATTTTGTTTTAATTTTATTTTGAAAACTTTCTCACCCAAGAACATGTCGAATCCGCCGTCTTCCACGAAACCGCGAGGGTCGTCGCGAATTTCCTTCAGAATGGCCGCCCAGTTCAAGTTTTGCTTTCCTTCATACCAAACGATTTCGAGTTCGTTGAGCCATCTCTGAAATAAAAATAAAACAAAATAAAACAGAACAAATTAACATTTCAATTTAAATTCAATTTCTTCAAACGCGAGAAAAAACAGACACAAAGGTGCTGCTTGCACAGGAAAGCAGCAAAAAGGCGCAGCAGCAAAACAGACTCCGCATCTCTCAGAAACCCTTTTTGAATTATTTTGTTTTTGTCTTTCTGACCTTTAAGTTGTCGAGATATTCAATTGGGATCAAGTCGATGCGTTTCACGGGCTTGTTATAATCCTGAAGCCAAAACGCGCCGCAGCAGCAGCAGCAGCGCAGCAGCAGCAGATCAGCAGCAGCAGCTGCAGCAGATCAGCAGCAGCATTTTCTGCGGAGTTTCCGCGGAACTCCGGGAAACTGAAAGCAGCCGCAGGCCAAGGCCTGCTGCAGCTGCTCCAGTCCTCGTCCTGAGCAGCAGCAGCAGCAGCTGCTGCTGCTCCAAAGACTCCGAAAAACAGCAGCAGCAGCAGCAGCAGCAGCAGCAGGAGCAGGAGCAGCTGCTGCTGCTCCAAAGACTCCGAAAAGCAGCAGCAGCAGCAGCAGCAGCAGGAGCAGCTGCTGCTGCTCCAAAGACTCCGAAAAGCAGCAGCAGCAGCAGCAGCAGCAGCAGCAGCAGCTGCTGCTGCTCCAAAGACTCCGAAAAGCAGCAGCAGCAGCAGCAGCAGCAGCAGCAGGAGCAGCTGCTGCTGCTCCAAAGACTCCGAAAAGCAGCAGCAGCAGCAGCAGCAGCAGCAGCAGCAGCAGCAGCAGCAGCTTGCCTGGAAAACGAAGACCATGTCGAAGTTGCGGAGTCCGTGGGCCACCCGCTCAAAAGACACAATTTCGATGTCTTCGAGCGGCAGCACGAAGGGCGGCCACTCCACCAAATGGACCAAACAATTTGCTGTTGGCAAAATCTCCACGTTCGACTTCAGCGGCACTCCCGAGAAACGCAACTCCCTGCGCAGCAACGTGACCACTGGACCACTCACCCGCTGCTGCGGTGACCACTGGACCACTCAGCTCGCTGCGGTGACCACTGGACCACTCAGCCGCTGCTGCGGTGACCACTGGCCCACTCAGCCGCTGCTGCGGTGACCAGTGGACCGCTTAGTTTGCTGCAGCTGACCAGTGGACCACTCAGTTTGCTGCTGCTGCAGCTGACCAGTGGACCACTCAGTGGCTGCTGCTGCTGAGCAGTGGACCACTCAGTCGCTACTGCTGCTGAGCAGTGGACCAGTGGACCACTGGCGCAAACTCGCTTTTATTTGGCCAGTTTTACGCGTTTAACAAAATACTTCAACTCATTCAAATGTTTGAAAAGAGAAGTTCTGTGTCTTCTAATTGCGAAAATTAAGAATAACAATAATAATTGTTTTTATTATTTTTATTTTTATTGTTATTGTTGCAAATAATTTGCAAAAATAAATAAACGCGAATGGACCAAAAGGCTGCACTGCAGCCTCTGGGGGGAGGCATGAACCCAAGTGAGCGACAGGAAGAACAAAAACCCAAAGACATTTATTTAAGTTTTAAATAATTATTTAAATTTAAATAAAATTATTCGACTTATTTTAAGTTTTAACAAATTATTTGAATTAAATAAAACTATTCGACTTGTAATTAATTTGAAATCAAAAAGCGAAGAGCTGCAGATTACCTGTAGGGCAAGTCGAATTCAACTTTCGAAACTTCTTCGACTTGCTGAACAAATCTTTTGAACTCTCCATTTAATTTCTTTTTCATTTCCCTTTCCCGCATTTCGTCCAGAGTCTCATCGGGGTCGTGGTAAGAGCGGCTGAAGAAAAGTTGAAAGTTGAAAAGTTGAAAAGTTGAAAAGTTGCAAACAAGAAAAGTTCAACTTGGAAAGCAGCAAGAGGGACCTAAGCGGCTCTCCGGAAGCGGAAAAGGATTTAAAATCTGAAATTAAAATCAAAATTAAATCTATTTAAAATCAAAATTAAATCTATTTCCCTTTTTAATCCTTTAAATTGGAAAAAAATTGAACTCCACCGCCAACTCACTTCCGCCGGTTGTCCAAGTCGTCCGTCTGCGTCCCCGCCTCCGTGTAGAACTGAACGTCTTGAGTTCTCTTTTTCCCCACCAAAATAGGAGCCTAAAAAGCAAAAAATAAAAAATAAATGAAAAAGATAAATGCAAAATATAAATGCAAAATATAAATGCAAAAGATAAATGCAAAAGATAAATGCAAAAAGACTTGCACAAGCATGCATGCAGAACTTGAAAGCCTGCTGAACTCCGCAGCCCACCTTCAAGTGGAAATGAACCAAAACAATTAACTCCCCAAATAGAGCTTTAAATGCGAATTTTGATAAATAAATGCAAAATATAAATGCAAAAAGACTTGCACTAAAATAAATGCAAAAGATAAATGCAAAAAGACTTGCACAAGCATGCAGAACTTGAAGCCTTCTGCACTCCACAACCCACCTTCAAGTGGAAATGAACCAAAACAATTAACTCCTCAAAATAGAGCCTTAAATGGGAATTATTAAAGATAAATGCAAAAGATAAATGCAAAAGATAAATGCAAAAGATAAATGCAAAAGATAAATGCAAAGAGACTTGCAGAACTTGAAAGTCTTCTGCCCACCCTTCAAGTGGAAATGAACCAAAACAATTAACTCCTCAAAATAGAGCTTTAAACGCGAATTTTGAAGAATAAATGCAAAATATAAATGCAAAATATAAATGCAAAAGATAAATGCAAAAGATAAATGCAAAGAGACTTGCAGAACTTGAAAGTCTTCTGCCCACCTTCAAGTGGAAATGAACCAAAACAATTAACTCTCTTTCGCAAGGCTGCAGAATTGCGTGTTTGATATTTGCATAAGTGATGTCGACGACGTCCATTTGGCCGCGGGTGTTGACGGTGAACCTGCATCGGAAAAACGGCGAAGTGCAAGTCCGAGGCCCCCGATCTCGCCTTAAACTGCTCGAAAATCCGGAATTATTCATCTTAATTGCAATAATAATAATAATTATTATTATTTTAGCCATTACTGGTCGATTTTGTCGGAAAAACCCGCGAAAAAACCCACTGACACCCGAGCAGTGACACTTGCCGCAAGCCGTTGGTGTGCGCCTCCAGCGCGCCGATCAGCTTCCGCATGCCCGTCGAGATGTTCGGCCTGATCATCAAATCTTTCAAAAGAATTCTTCTTCCAGATCTGTTCAAAACCAACTTTTCCTGAGCCGCGAGCTCTCCGGGGTACTGCAGGTCTTCCGCGGCTTTCTGCTTCACCCGCTTCAGCTGCTCCTTGATGGTCCTGTAGATGTCTGCAGCACCAGCAAATCCGCAAATGAAAACCCAAAATCAAACAAGTCCCCAAACTCAAAAATAAACCAAACAAAAAAACCCAATTCACAAGCAAACAGCAAAAGGCTGCACTTCCCCTCCGCAGCAGCAGCAGCAGCAGCAGCAACAAGAACAAGAGCAGCAGCAGCAGCAGCAGCAGCAGCAGCAGCAGCAGCCGCAGCAGCAGCAGCAGCAGCAGCAGCAGCCGCAGCAGCAGGAGCAGCAGGAGTGTGCGCACTTTGGAGGTGGCGGCTGTCTTCGCTTTTGAACATGAGTTCTTTGACGAAGAGTTGGTTTTTGCCGGCGATGTCTGGCAAAGGGTTTTCCTCTCCTTTTTGCGTCAGAGTTTGAGATCCTGGGACTTGGAAATTAATTCGCAAAATGGAAAAGCGACTCGGCTTGCTGCTTGCTGCTGCTGCTCTTGCTGCTCCCAAGTTCGCCTCCGACTCGCTGCAAGTCACGTTCTTCACCGTCGACAAATGAAATGGCAAGTGGTGGCCGGGAAAGGGCACGAAGAGGCACTCCGACTTCATGTCCACGTACAGCTGCGCAGTGTACAGACACCTCAACGCCGCAGCAAAACTCCGCCCCCAACCGCTGCCAACAGCAGCAGCAGCAGCAGCAGCAAACCCGCGAACAGCAGCAGCGCAGCAGCAGAGGGACGTGCAGGAAGCAGCCGCCGCAGCAGCTGCTGCACAGAGCACCAGCAGCAGCGGGTGCTGCGGATAGCAGCAGCAGCAGAAGCAGCAAAAGCTGCTGTTGCTGCTGCGCGGCATTCACTTTGAGAGCCCCAGGCGGAGCAGCAGTTGGCTTTGCGGGCCGCAGCGCAGGGACAAAGGAAACAAAAAGAGTTTCGAGAAAAAGAAATCAAAAATAAAAAAGAAAAAAGAATCTAAATAAGCATGCAGTCAACATCTCCCCCCTCGCCCCCATGCCCAGTTCAGACTGTCTGCAGCAGCAAGTTGCAGCAAGTTGTGCTACGCCGCCCGCAAGCCGCCCGCAAGTCCTTAATGGACATTAAAATGACAAAAGAAGAAAAGGAAGAAATTAAAAACACTTTTGCAGATTCGCACCAACTGGACATACACCCGAAGAAGGCAGCCACATTCAAGAAAACTTGAATTTCTTGCCAATGAAGATCCCACTTGCAAATGCAAGAACCTGAACCCTCCCATTCGCTCTAATTGCCATTAATAATGCCAAAAATGGCATTAATTATTAATAATTATCCTTTTTATTTGCATTCAAGAGCCGAATCGCCGAAACCGCCAGCAGCAGCCGCAGCGAGTGACCCTGCAGCAGCAACGCCGCAGCCGATCTGCTGCGATCTGCTGCGATCTGCTGCGATCTGCTGCGATCTGCTGCAGCAAAACTCACTTTGCTGGGCCGCAAGTCTTTGGGAAACTCCTCGGGAGAGCTGAAGGCCCGCAAGTCTTGCATTTTCTTTTGGCGTTTTTGCTGCTGCTCGTCGCCGCCGTCTTCGGCTTCTTCGCGGGCGAAGCGCTGCGCGCAGCACCCCACTCTGCCGCTCACAAAGCTTTTTTATTTATTTTTAATTTAATTTCAATTCAGGTCGAACTTCAAACTTCAAATCGAATCCAAACACTCTAAGCTTCCCCGCGCCGCGTCTGCCGCTGCGCGCGGCAGCAGCAGCAGCAGCACGAAGCGCAGCAGCAGCAGGAAAAGCGCAGCAGCAGCAGAAAAAGCGCAGCAGCAGCAGGAAAACGCGCAGCAGCAGCAGCAGCAGCAGCAGCTTGAACTGCAGAGCTTCCTTGCAAGCAGCAAATGCAGAAGAAGCTGAATCTGCGGACCTGCTGCAGCGCGGAGAGCTTTTTTTTGCGGAGTTCGCGCTGCCTGTTGTCTCTTTCTTCTGCTGCTTCCATGTGAGCAGCAGATCCATTATCTCTTCTGCGGAGTCTGTCTTTCAAAATGAGGCTTTCAGCGTTTTTCAAGACGCTGGCGGAGATGGTACCGCTGGAGGGTTTTTCGGACTTCTCGGAGTTCTTTTCTTTTTCTTTTTTTTCTTTTTCTTTTCCCTTTTCCTTTTCCCGAGACTTCTTCTTCTCCACCAACTCGCCTTCTTCCCGCTTCTCCCGCCGCCCCTCTTTGCTGCTCTTCGCCTTCAAAGGACTTTCTGCTGCTTCTTCTTCCCCCTCGTCCAGTTCGTAGTTCACGTACGCCAGCTGCGAAGAAAGGCCCTCCGTCAGCACTGCAGCAGCAGCAGCAGCAGCAGCAGCAGCAGCAGCAGCAACAGCAGCAGCAGGTAAGACGCCCGCTGCCGTAGCTGCCGTAGCTTTCGAAAAAGTTGAATTTCAGTTTCAGGCCAAGCAGCAGCAAAACAAACCCAATAGAAAGCAGCTCGAAAACACCAGCACCGTCTGCAGCAGCAGCAGCAGCAGCATTAGCAGCAGCAACACCAGCAGCAGCAACACTGGCAGCAGCAGCAGCACCAACACCACCATCAGCAGCGCCACCACCACCAACATCAACACCACCACCAGCAGCACCAGCAGCAGCAGCACCACCACCACCAGCAGCACCAAGACCATCAGCAGCAGCAACAGCAGCAGCAGCAGCAGCAGCAGCAGCAGTAGCAGCAGCAGCAGCAGCAGCAGCAGCAGCAGACCTTGAGTGGTGCCGTCTGGACGGAGCCAGACAGTGTCTGCGAGCCAAACTGCATATTCTTTTCCTTCGGCAGTTTTTAAGTCGCTGAAAGCCACGCTGACCAAAAAGGCCATTTCAGGTTCGATGAAGACTCTGCAATGCAGCAGTTTGTTCAAAATTCAACTTCAACAATTAATTAATTTTAATTAATTTTAATTAATTTTAATTAATTTCAATTAATTTCAATTAATTGAATTAATTTCAACTTATTTAATTAATTGCAATGCGTTTAATTAATTTCAATTGGCTGAATTTGCTTCAAGCAGCGAGTTTGAATCCAATTGCTCAATTTGTTTTAATTCTTCAATTTGTTTTAATTCTTCAATTTGTTTTACCCATTCAATTAATTTGAATTAATTAAAATAACTTCAAGTAATTAAATGCATTTCAATTAATAAACTTTGTCTCAATTAATTCAACTTTTCGAAAGCGAAGGTAACCGAAAAAGAAATAAATATATTGCAAAGACTTTAAATGCAATTTCAAATTTAAATAAAACAAAAACAAAACAGAAATCCATTTGCCAGTCAAATGGCCTTCTATGGACCCATACAAATACAAAAAAGGAAAACAGAAAGAAAAGAAGAAAAAAGAAAAAGGGGAAAAAGAAATAAAAAATAAAAAATAAAAAGAAATTGAAAAGAAATAAAAAGAAATAAAAAAGAAATAAAGAAAAAAGAAAAAAGTTGCAAAGTTGTTTCTCACGAAAAAGACGAAAAGGAAAATTTGAATTTTGAATTTTGCGAAGTTGAAAAGCGACTTGCTGCGGCTGCCTCCGCCTCGAACTTCAAAGCAATTAAACCAACTAAACAATTAAAAGAATAAAATAAATAAAATAAAATAAATAAGTAAATAAAATAAATAAATAAATAAATAAATAAATAAATAAATAATAAACCAACTTGTCATTCTTTTGGTTGAAGACCAACCGAGGGTCTCGGTAGTGCGCGCCGATGGAGTGGCCGACGTTCTTCGCGAGGTGTCTAGACAGCGCAGGTTTCCGCGAAGCCAAAAACGAAATTGCTTTTTCGTGAATGGCAGAAAAAGAAATTCCAACTTTTAAACTTCCAATTAAGTGCTGCTGCAGCTCCAGCGCCAGCTCGTAAGTCTCCTTCTGCTCCTGTACGTACACCCCGCACCCCAACAGCCCACGCTCCCAACAGCCACAAACTGCTGCTGCTGCTGCAGCTGCTGCTGCAGTTGCTGCTGCAGCTGCTGCTGCAGTTGCTGCTGCAGCTGCTGCTGCAGTTGCTGCTGCAGCTGCTGCTGCAGCTGCTGCTGCAGTTGCTGCTGCAGTTGCTGCTGCAGCTGCTGCAGTTGCTGCTGCTGCTGCAGCTTCGGGTGTTACCTTTTTGCCATTGAGAATGAAAGTGCGGCAAAGCGCTGCGCAGAAGTCTTTGTATTTGCATCCCAAAGAAATAATAATTGTGCCTTCAGACTGAGACAAAGCTTCTGCAGAAGGCAAAGCAGAAGCTCTTAAGTCAAAGTGACGGCCACTCTGCACGTTTTTGAACAGCACCTCCACCTCGCTCGGGTCCAGCTGTACGTACACCCCACCCCAGCAGCAGCAGCAGCAGCGCAGCAGCAGCAGCAGCAGCCGCAGCGAAATGAGCAGCTATTGTGGCGCGAGCAGCAGCAGAAAATAGCCGCACGAGCAGCAGCAAAGAAGCAGCAATTCGCGGCCCGCGCAGCAGCAAACGAGCAGCAACTAGCGAGGCTGAGCAGCAGCAAAAGAGCAGCAACTAGCAACGCCCAGCAGCAGCAAAGAGCAGCAATTAGCGGCCCGCGCAGCAGCAAACGAGCAGCAAGTAGCGAGGCTGAGCAGCAGCAAAGAGCAGCAACTAGCGGCGCTGAGCAGCAGCAAAGCGCAGGCCGTTTGCTGCTGACGTTGCACTTCTCCTTGAGGCGCTGCAGCTGCTTCTGGTCCTTCAGCAGCAGCTCGGCTCTGTCGCAAATGCTCTTGTGGGACTCGTTTTGGCCGTTGTCCAAAACGAACTCCACTCTGGAGACCAGCTGGTGCTTGACCATGGCCACTGACACGCGGCTGGCGTCGGCGACGAGAGCCTGAAGACAGAAGATCGAGGCGAAATCGAGGCGGAGTTGGCGCAAAAAACGCAGCAAAGAATTGCAAATGCAGAAACTCAACAGCGCAGCCGAAAAGCCGAAAAAATTCGACTCATTAAAGCCTTTTTTCGACAGCTTTCCGTCGGATCGGAACTGGCGGAAACCTGCACTGCGCGGTCGTCGGGTGTACGTACACCGCAGCGCGCCTCACCACTTCCGAAGGCGTCAGCGTCGCCGTGAGCGGCGAAAGCGGCACTTCAATGTTTTCTTCTTGATTTGCAAAAGACTTAATCCACGGAATTACGTCTGCTGCCAAAGTGCCGGCAGTCGGCAGCACTGCGCCGCCCAGGAAGACCGCCAGGCGCACGCCGCTCTGCAGAGGTGCGCATACACCCGAAACCGCCGCCGATCTCCGCCGATCTTCGGAGTTTTCGCGGATCATTTCAATTAAAAAAGCGCTAAAGTGAAATAAAACGCAAAGTTATTGCTTTGCAAGCCGCCACTCACGTCGGAGTCCGCTCCGGCGGCGCGCCGCAGCGCCGCAGCCATCTGCTGCAGACTTTTGCAATTTCCCTCCTGCGCGTCTTTCAAGAAAATCCGAAGACCCCCAATCGCCTCCAACTGCCGCAGGTGTTCCGCCTTTTTCGCCGAAGTCAAAACCAGCCACTCTTTCGTCGAACGAACGAAAATGAAAAGAGTTTCCAAAAACTGAAAGCCCGTCAGCCACGACCTGTACAGACACCCCACACCCACCAAACAGCCCCGCTCCCGCCAGCTCCTCTGCAGCAACGCCCGCCACAACCTCCAGCAGCAGCAGCAGCAGCAGCAGCAGCAGCTGCTGCTGCTGCTGCTGCAGCACGGCGATAAAGCGGACGCGGGCCAGCCGACGCAGCGCAGCAGCAGCAGCAGCAGCAGCTGCTGCTGCTGCTGCTGGCGCGGGACGCACTGGATGCGTTCAGCAGCACTTTCGTCTTCTTCTGCTGCTCTTCCGACGAAGACACAAATGGCGTCGACTGCTGCCCAAGCTTCTGTCTTGGCGTTAATTCCGCGGCCTTCCCACATTTCAAAGAGCCGCTGCAGCTTCATTTCCACTTCGCCGCGGTTCAGAGACACCAGCTGCGCAGCAGCAGCAGCAGCAGCAGCAGCAGCAGCAGGCGCAGCAGCAGCAGCAGCAGCAGGCGCTGCGGACGGGGCGGGGGGGCTTCCGCCCTTCGCTGCTGCGGCGCCCCCATCGCGCTTTACTGCAGCAGCAGCGGGAGCAGCAGCAGCAGCGTCGGCCGCTGCTGCTGGCTTTGCTGCAGCTGCTTCCGGCGCTGCTGCTGCTGCTGCTGCTGCTGCAGCTGCTGCTGCGTCGACTTCAGACTTGGGGGACAGCAGCGGCTCCTCCCGCTTCACCGGCAGCGCGCCGTTTCCTTGCGGAACCGACGCAGCAGCAGCAGGAGCAGCAGCAGCAGCAGCAGGAGCAGCAGCAGCAGCAGCAGCAGGGGACTCAGCCCCTGCCTTCAAGGGCTGCTGCGCGGCTGCTGCTGAGCCATCAGGTCCCGCTGCTGCTGTGTTGCTGTTTTGGTTTTGCGTTGCTGCTGCGTCGCTCTCCATCTTGAGGTGTACATACACCGCAGCAGCAGCAGCAGCAGCAGCAGCAGCAGCAGCAGAGCGAAGAGGCACCAAGTCGAGGCGCAGCTGTCGCGGGCGCGGCTCGCCAGCCCTAAACCCTAAACCCTAGGCCCTAAACCCTGCGCCCCAAACCCTAAACCCTAAACCCTAAACCCTAAACCCTAGTTCCCTCTTCTTTCGAGGAGGACAAGAAAAACCGCAGAAGCAACCGGGGGCCCCCACCCCCCAACAGCAGCAGCTGCGACGGAGAGCCGCCTGTGGGCAGCAGCAGCAGCAGCAGCAGCAGAGACCTGAGGTGTACGTACACCTTGGAGACCCGCAGAAACGCAGAGAAACCAGATTAACACACGGGGGCTGTAGCCAGCAGCAGCAGCAGCAAGCGCTGCTGCTGCTGCTGCAGCGCATGCAGCAGCAGGGTGGTGGGTAGAAAGGGTGGGGGGCCTTTTCTGGAGATTTTAAAGTCTTTTTAGCAATTTGATTCATTTATTTGCAAATTATTTTCTTTTATTTCCCTCAAACTCTCCCGCACTCCCGCAGAGCCGCCGGCGGCGCTCGCCGCGACACCAGGTGGTGAGGTGTACGTACACCCCAGCGGTGGGAGTCCACTTCCACTTTTTCTTCCAGTTTTCTTTAATTGCATTTTTAAATTCAAAAAAGTTTACTTCCGACTTTCAAGTTCCGGTTTTCAGTGTGCGTGCACCACTTGCGGTGTACGTACACCGCGCGCTGAGACGACGTGGCCGAGACTATGCAGCTTTTCAGTTTCAGTTTGAGCTGCAGTGGTTGCTTTTTTTGAGACTTTATTTTAATTAATTCCTTCTGAGACTTATTTGAATTAATTCTTTTGTTTTAATAAAAAAGCCTTTAGGTTTCTGGAAAGCATCTTTACACTTGCGCGCTGCGCCGCGCGTCCGCCGATTCTGCGGTGTACGTACACCTGAGGTGTACGTACACCGGAACTGCCCAGACAGCAGCACTTAAGACAAGTTGGCACTTTAGTTTCAAACAAAACAAAACTTCTGCAAGCAGCTGCTGCTCGCAGCTGGCGCGAGAGAAAAACAAAAATAATGAAAAGACAAACAGCAGAGAAGCAGCACAGCAGCGCGGGGTGTACGTACACCCCAAACGCAGGTGTACGTACACCCCAAACGCTGGGGGCCGCCGCTGCACACCCGAGAAGAGAGCTCCCTCTTGCAAGCCACAAGGGTTTAGGGTTTAGGGTTTAGGGTTTAGGGTTTGAGGACATTTAGGCAGCCGTCGAAACCCCAAGAAACCACCACGTTGTTGCTGGGGTGGTGCGCCAGCCCAATGACATCTTGTTCATGAATCTGCAGCAGCAAATAGAACAGCAGCAGCAGCAGCAGCAGCAGCAGCAGCAGCAGCATTTGTAATAATTGCTAGTTCTGTATAGGGCATTCTTAGTGCTGTTTAAACTGCTCCACGCTGCGGCGGCGACACGCGCAGCAGCAAACCTGCTGCAGCAGCAAACCTGCTGCAGCAGCAAACCTGCTGCAGCAGCAAACCTGCTGCAGCAGCAGCTGCAGCAGCAGCAGCAGCAAAGTGCAGCAGCGGGCGCAGGGCCCATCGGGCTAAAGGAGCGGCGAACAGCGCAGCAATAAGCCACTTAAATTAAACCACATTGTTAATTAATTTAATTAATTTATTTATTCAATTAATTATTTTAATTAATTAATTAATTAATTAATTAATTAATTAATTAATTAATTAATTAATTAATTAGTATTACCTTCATAACATGCTCCAGCTTTCCCGTGGCATTTGCAAAGCAGTAAAGAGAATGGTCTTCGCCAGCGCACAAGACCCACTCTGCGTGGGGAGAAACTGTGGGCAGCAAATAATAAATAAATAAATAAATAAATAAATAAATAAATAAATAAATAAATAAATAAATAAATAATAATTAATTAATTAAAAATAAGAGGATGGATAAATGAAACGAGCAAGTACTGCGAAGAGGCGCGTTTGTCCCGCCTAAACCCCAAACCCTAAACCCTAAACCCTAAACCCTAAACCCTCACCGCAAGCAGCAACGAAATCTCCGCCCTGCTTTTTGCCTGAAGACCAACTCTTAATTGTTTTGCCGCTGTAGTTCATTAAGCTGATGGTGTTGCTTTTGGTGCAAACATAAATCAAGTCCATCCCCACGTTCTGCAGCTCGCAAACCCTAAACCCTAAACCCTAAACCCTAAACCCTAAACCCTAGGCGCTGAGCCACCCCCTGAGCGCCGCGGCGGGCCCCCGCGCTCCCGCTGCCGCGCTCCGCAGCGGCGGCCGCCGCGCCCAAACCCCAGACCCAAACCCTAAACCCCAAACCCTAAACCCTAAACCCTAAACCCCAAACCCTAAACCCTAAACCCTAAACCCTAATTACCCGGGGCGCCAAAATAATTGACATCACTGAAGGCAAACACTGCACGGCCTGCATGTGGGGAGGCACTGGGGGGGTAAAAGTGGAGAGGCAGTCTTGGGTTTTTGCGTCCCAGAGTTTAATCTTTCCATCCGCGCTTCCTGCGCAAACCCTAAACCCTAAACCCTAAACCCTAAACCCTAAACCCTCGACCCTAGACCCTAGGCGTCTTCCGCCCCAGTCCTAGGCCACAGCCGCCCGAAGTCAACAGCCCCGAAAACGCAGAAAACACCCGCTAGACGCGGCCCCGACAAACCACAAATGAGGGTTTAGGGTTTAGGGTTTAGGGTTTAGGGTTTAGGGTTTGGGACCTGTGATGATGCGCGTGTTGTCCGGCAAATATAAAGCGCAATTCACAAAAGTCAAATGCCCCCGAAACTCCTTCAGCGTCTTCCCAGCCTTCAAGCCATGAATCCTGAACCCCAAACCCTAAACCCTAAACCCTAAACCCTAAACCCTAAACCCTAAACCCTAAACCCTAGATTGAGCATCTCGTCACTTGTCTCTGGCAATCTGCGCCGGCTCGCAGCTAGACACGCTAAGCCCCTGAGCCAAACCCTAAACCCCAAACCCTAAACCCCAAACCCTGAACCCTAAACCCCAAACCCCAAACCCTAAACCCTAAACCCTCAAGATAAAGACCTGGCAGTTGTGTCGAAAGAGCCCGTCAGCAAGTGCGTGTTGTCTTTGCTGAAGCAAATTGAGGCGATGGCTGAAAAGTGGAGAAAAAAGAAATAAAAAGAATTAAAAAAGAATTAAAAATAAAATAAATAAAATAATCAAAAATAAATAATTAATTAAAAATAAATTTGCAATTTAAAAATAATTTGTGACCTGCAATTGAACAAATAATCAAATTCTCAGTCCCTGATTTGCCTGGCAGCCACGAAACCCTAAACCCTAGTGCCAAACCCTAAACCCTAAACCCTAAACCCTAAACCCTAGAACTTCAAACACCAAAACCTAAACCCTAATTCCAGCTGCGTCTTGCTCTGAGCGCAGTCTCCAGAAAAAAGGCTGTTTCGTTCTCGCTTGAATTAGGGTTTAGGGTTTAGGGTTCGGGCTAGCAGGTACAGCTTAGGGTTTAGGGTTTAGGGTTTAGGGTTTAGGGTTTAGCAGCACGTACCTGCATCGTGAGCCTTGTCTATCTTTTTAATGCACTGCCCTGTTGCCACCAACCAGACCTTCAGCTGGCCCGTCTGACTTCCTGCAGCAAACCCTAAACCCTAAACCCTAAACCCTAAACCCTAAACCCTAAACCCCTGCGTGAAAACCCTAAACCCTAACTAAGTAGGGCACTAGAAAGAGGGCATAATCGTTTCGGCAAACCCCAGACTCCCTAACCCTAAACCCTAAACCCTAGCCCCGAACCCTCTTCCCCGAAACCCTGATTCAAAGCAGCCACCCAAAACGAAGGGTTTAGGGTTTAGGGTTTAGGGTTTTGACCTGTTGCTAGGGCTTCGCTGTCCCGACTGAAGGCGATGGCGACGACAGCCGTCTCGTGCATCATGAGGTTATTCTGGAGGCAGCCCCCAAACCCCAAACCCTAAACCCTAAACCCTAAACCCTAAACCCTAGGCCGTAAACCCTCGGCGCGGGGGCCAAACCCTAAACCCTCGGCCGCAGCCCCTGAAGCCAAACCCTAAACCCTCCGCGCCGCGGCGAGCCGCGCCGCCCCGGACCCCGCTGCCCAGCGCAAACCCCAGCCCCAAACCCCAAACCCTAAACCCTAAACCCTAAACCCTAAACCCTAAACCCTACCTCTCGCTGGTACTTCAAGTCCTTGTTCAAACACCCCAACTGCCAATCCCAAACCTCCACAAACCCGTCAATAGAGCCGCTGGCCAAATAGCGGCCGTCGGGGGAAAAGGCCGCGCACTCGGGGTGGCTTTTGTTCGTGAACTGCGCGCAAACCCTAAACCCTAAACCCTAAACCCTAAACCCTAAACCCTAAACCCTAAACCCTAACCAAGCCGCACGTCCCGACCCTCCCTCACCCCGCCGCGGGGCCGCCGCCGCCGCGGCGCGCGCGCTCCCCCGCAGCCCCCCGGCCGGGCGCCTAGGGTTTAGGGCTGGGGTTTAGGGTTTAGGGTTTAGGGTTTAGGGTTTACGCGGATGCTCTTGGCGACGTCTTGGGGGTAGAGTTCTGCTGCTTCTTTGCTGCGTTTGGTGGAGTTGGAAAACAAATTAAACTCCGAAGTCGGAGGCAATAAACCCTTTTGCTTCTGGAAGTTCAAAGCCATTCCCACGAGGGTTAGCAGCCGCGAGGGC